ACACACACACACACACACACACACACACACACACACACATTAACCAGAGAAAGGTACAAAGCTGCAGACTCACTGGAGTCTCGTATGACAACACTGTCTTGTAACTACATTCATAACAGGAAGTAAAGATGCTGATGCTTACTGATGAGGTCACGGGCACCGCTGAGAGCTTTGGGGCGGTAAATCCGTCGTGAGTTAGTGTCGGACACATACAGCTGCCCTGTTACTGGGTCAGTGGCTAAGTAGTAGCGGTGAGCAGGGTTGTTGCTGTGCAGCGCAGTGAAGGGGAACAAATAGGAAAGACAGAAGAAGACTCATCAGAAGGTTACACATCTGTGTCACATCCCTGAGAAGATATCAGCTACACATTTAGTAACCAAACTAATCCCACTGTTATGTTTGCTTTCACAATGTAAAGTGAAAAACTGAATTTTCATTTCATTACACAAGAGGAAACGCTGTCCTGCTGCTGGAATGACACTGATGCTGAGCAGCTGCAGGACAGCATGCTAACAACTAGCTGGTTAAAGGATCACTAATCAGTCTGTCAGGCTTTAGCCTCCGGTTTGTACTGTTTACTGCTTAATACATAATAATTCAGGCCAGCCTGTGCAGTAAGGCAAATATATGTAATGAGTACTGTAACAGCTTCATGCAGGAAGTAAATAAATAACGTAACAGACATAAAAAAAAAGGAGAAAAGGTGAAATCCTTCTATGAAGCGTCGGACAGTTTAACTTTAACTTCCCAGAAGAATTGGCAGCATGAGTTCAGTTAAACGCTTGTTGTCCAACGTGAGGACGTGGAAATGAAGGAGACTGTCTGCAGGAGCTGTCAGTGTTTGGGTCAGTGTAGCTGTGCTGTAACTAGTGTGTGCACCTACATGTGTGTGCAGTCTCTGAGATTTAAGTGCAGCTGTGATATGTGAGAAAGTGTGTTTATGTGGAGAGAACATGAAACGTCTGTGCGGAGAGAACCAACCTGCTCAACAGAAAAAAGACCTTAAACAGCAGGAAGAAACCCAAACATGTCTGTACTGATCTGGACTGATTAATGTGCAGCTTTGATGGAAATGAACCTACAGACGGCTCCATTCAAAGAAACCCTGAAAGGGGAAAACGCAGCGACTCATAATCGTCTGTAGCCCCGATGCGCTTGTATGCATGCCTGACAATATCAGGGTGTGCTCCTAATGAGACGTTGGATGATGTCCTGGTTATCTCCTCAGATCTGATCAGGGCATCACTGAGCTCCTGGAGTGATTAAATGATTTTACAGCCGCTGACGTTTAATCTTTATGTAGGAAAACTGGAATAAAACTGAAACGTTTTAAAGATGAAAGGCAACACAAATGACTTCGTCTCTGGTTTCAGGGAGGCCAAAGCAGCTAATGAAACTCATGAATCACCTGGTCTGTCTGTCAAAACCTAACATGAAGCCAGCTTCTTTCCATCGCTCTGACCGACTCTTTATGCTGACTGAACGCAGTGACATCCTGATGATCTAATGTCACCAAAATGAACCAGTTTCTCTTCCTTAGCTTCCTGTTTGAAATGTCCGTTTCCATCATTATTATTTGCATTAACGCTCACGGTACAGTGTGTAATATGTTCCTGTCAAAGCCGACGGGCAGGAAAAGAAAACAGGAGACAGGAAATAATCAAAGAATAGAGAACAAGTGAAAAGTGCAACGAGCTGTGAACTGATACACAAAAAACAGAGAAATCATTTCAATGTTTAAGGGATGTGTTTTCACAAAGTGCCTGATTTTGGGAGCAGTGTGGGCCTCGAACCTACCCCCCCCACCCCCACATAGGTTAGTTGGTGTTGTGGTGTTTTCTCTTATTAATACAGTGACATTGCCTTGTGTTACGACTTGTAAAACAAAGCCCATTAAGCTCTGATTCAGCCTCCTCTAGACCTCATAATGGGGACTTAACGATGTGGAAGACACTGAAGCAGCTGTGTTAATGGTCCTGATAGATGTGTGTTGCTGCATGGCTGCTTATTGCTTAGCTTTGGTGTATTTGGTAAACTCGACATGTAGCTCAGTTTCCTTCAGATGCTATTTTTTTATTTTGCCTTTGTTACTTCAGAAGTCGTACAGGTGGAGACTTTTCCAGCCTTAGACCAGTAAAGCTTGTGCTGCTCTCCACAAGCTAACAGGCTATGGTTTGTTTGGGGAGAGTTGCATTGTTATTCATTGTTTAGCTTGCAATGCTATTAATTTGCTTCTGATCTAAAAGTCTCTTTGTGTTTGGTTGGATGGATCAGCTGTAATTCATTTTGAAAGAGGAGGAAAAATAAACTCAAGAACAAGTCGGAGAAGCTATTGTGGGTATGGACATGTTGAGGATGCTGGAGAAGTACATGTGAGCTGCCTGCTCGCTGCAAAAAACAGATGTTAGCATTGACAGGATCGACCCAGGGAAAGACAACTTTCATCGATTTTTGGATCGTCCAAATGAATATGCAGAACATGTAACAACGTCTTTAATGAGAGAAATAATTTGACAAAGAGCTGCGTGGTATAAAGAGCATCACAGCAGCTCTCACTACCCTCTTGTAAACCTTTCCTTTCTCTCTTGCTGCTCTCCGTCGGTCACAAATCACCCAGACACTCGTCTCCACCCACTCCACCCTGCACGCTCCGCCTTCTTCTCTTGTGCATTGCTCAGACATCCTCTCACTCTTCATGATTGTGTTAGCAGTCCTGTTAAAAAGTTTTCTACTCTCTCTCCTACACCTCTCCATACCTCCACAGGTATGTCACCTGGACCACTCTTACTCCCCTTCATAGCTGCCCTCACTTCCTCACTAATCCTCTGTCCTCCTCTCTCATATTCTACAATCATCGGATCCTCATAGTCCTCCTTCATCTTCTCAACAGACTAATGGTAATTTGTCTTTAGTCACGTTGCAACACAGTGCCTCTGTTTAGCCAATCAACGCAACAAAAATATAGATATTTTTAATCTAAAGCAATGTAAAATATTGCATTGTAATTATAATTTATTTATAAATGTCATGATTAAGTATTGTGTAATGTTTTTTTGTAAATAAAAGATTAAAGTTCCAAACTGTAATGCAACTCTTTACCACTAGGGGGCAGATAGTGAGTGAGCAAAGTGTCCACCATGGCTTACACTCACACACGCCTCGCGCCTTTGATTTGCACGTTATGCAAATTAACAGTACAAATGTATCATTATTGATTTTGCCATTGGGAAGACCAAAACAGGAAATCCATCCAATCAAAATCCAAAGTGTGATTAACTAAATATGATCTTATATGAATAATTAGTGTCATACAGATAAGGGAAAAGGAAATGTAATGTTACTATGCCCTACATGGTAACATTTATTGTTAAAGGTAATATGAAGTCAGCATCAAGTATTTCTGTATGTGCACATGTAGCTACAGCTTGGATGAATTCAAAGAGGACGGTGAAGACGTCCAGAAGATGACCGATATGACGGATATCCACACCGTCTGTACCCGCCCCCCTCGCAAATGCTCTCCTTGCAACCCCTCCTAGGGCCTGCCCCTATTGTGAGGATTGTGTGCTGTTCAGCAGATTGGAGAAGAATAGACTCGATTTCATGTTTACGCTTTTTAAAATTAGGAAGTTTAACAACCAAGCAGGATGAAAACCAAGATGAGTGCGTCTCATTTTGGTGGTAGATGCCAGGACATTCTCGATTCTCTCTGATGAGAGCGATCATTGTTGTAATCATTCAATCATTTAGTTCCCAGAATACTTTATTTGGTGAGTGAAATGAGAACAAAAACAAGCAGCAGACCCAGAAACAAAGTGAAATCTGGTGCAAAAACCGATGGTGGAACGAAAAGAAGTTACAGGTTGAAGAAGGATTAGTCACACTTACCTATGCCTGAAATCTTTGTTTCTTTGAAAAAAAGCCAGAAAACCCAAGAAAGCAGAGAGACATAAGTTAGTTACCAGACTGGTGCTCGGCTGATATTACAATGAACTCTCTAGGGCAGGGGTCCCCAATCCCAGTCCACGAGGGCCGGTGTCCCTGCATGTCTTAGATGATCCATCACAGCTGATTTAAATGGATAAATGACCTTCTCAACATGTCTTCTGTTCTCCAGAGGCCTGGTAATGAGCTAATCATGTGATTCAGGTGTGTTGACCCAGGGTGAGATCTAAAACCTGCAGGACACCGGCCCTCGTGGCCTGGGACTGGGGACCCCTGCTCTAGGGGAAAATACTACAGCATGAGCAACAGTTAGGATGAAATATGGAAATCAGTATGAAAGAGATGTTAGTCTAAAACATGGCTGTTTTCCACTATGTTGTTAGTTCTTCATTAGTTAGCTAACATGAATGTTAGCTAACATGAATGTTAGCTAACATTCATTAGCTAACATGAATGTTAGCTAATGTAATCCTATCAGCAGAAACCAACCAACCAGGTGACATCGTGGCACTCCACATGGTCTTAAATCCAGACAGTGTTAAACCTGTTTGAATGTAGGGCTCCATGGTGTAAATTAGCATTACATTATATCATGTTAGCATTGCAATTAGCATTAAATGTAGTATTACCTTTCTACATTAAGTACTCTTCAATCAGGTCATTTTGACAAATCACTGGGTCCTGTTTTGTTTTACATCAGCTCATGAATACATTTAGTTACCAGGCAAAGCTGGATGAAATGTCTGGCAACACTTTCTTGAAAAAGGACGGTCAGGTCTGTGGGCTGTGTCCAAACTAAGGGGCTGCATCCTTTGAAGGCCACAAAGACCGGAAGTGCAAGGCTGTTAAACTGGACGGTCTGCCTAGCAACCGCCACATAAGCAGCTACAGCTGTGGTGGACGGCGTGTTCGATCGAAATGCAGAAAATATTTATGTCATATGTTTGACTTTTATCTGAGAAAACTGTTGTTTTATATGTGTGATGTATCTGGGAGAACGTTACAGCCATGCACTGAGCCAACAATGCTAACTTTAGCTAGCAAACTAGTTCATGAGGCTGGCCTCATTTCATTTTGATGGTGCAAATGTAAAAGGATTACATTATATTTTACTGTATATACAGCTTTTTGAAAAAATAAAAGCAAAGCTCAGTGGTGGTATTTAACTCACCATGTTTAGCATTTCAGTTCAAATTCGAGGTATGTATTTCTATTTCATATCCTTTATACCTGTGTGCCCGTCTAACATACCAATATTAACATACAGTGACCACTGCCTGGAAGCTTTAGTTATATTTAAGGGAAATATGCAAAAAAATAAACTAAAAGATTTGATCCTCGCGTGTTTCAGAAAATATGGAAGACAAACTGATGCAGTAAATATTCTTTTATTGATGAAAACTGTGCAATTTAAGATGTTGAAGATATGAGAGCATTAAACAGGCTGATGTTTGTGTAAGAGGCTCTGACAGGACACAGAAACATCACATCCTTATAAAATACTGACACACTTTATGAAGGGACAACTTTTTATTTAAATTTATTTAAATGAGCTGCATACGTTTCCCAGTGAAACCAGCACTGTGCTAAAACAATACTTTAACTAAATATGTTCTGGATGAAACAAATTGTTATCAAAGGTGTCCGTGGGTCTCTTCACTGTTCCTTCGTTCCCTGTCACATCCTGCAGGATAAACAGCAGTGATTGGTTCCCTGTATGCAGCTGTTACAGTTTGTGTTGGAGATGCAGGAAGCAAATATCGAGAAACTGTTTAAATATTTCCACCAGTCCCTCAGCCACAGAGAACGGCTGTCAGTGCTTCCCCTGCTCTCCTCTGCATCTCTCAGCTCCTTTTTCTCCTCCTCTTCCTCACACACTGCTCCTGGTGTCAGGGGTGGAGATCCTCGTCCCGTCTCCTCTCACCTGCTCAGTCTCTCCTGACTCTGGACACTTGCAGAAGGAAATCAACCATGGCAGTTAACAACTAAAGCAAAACACGTTATCAAATATCTGTCAACGTTCAGATGAATAGATAATAGATTCACATGGACATCGTTTATGTATTTAAATCAGAGAAATAAAAAACCAAGAGAAAATGGAAACAGGACGATCCTGCAGAGTGTTGATCTTTATAGCGATATCACTGACGTCACGTGACTTAGCCAAAGGTTAGTAGAATTTAACATTTGAAGACTTTTCACTACGCTAACATTTGTTCTGCTGCATATTTCAGTGAGATAAAAACCCAGTACTTACTTTTAAAGGTTTATTTCCGGACCACTTCGACTGTTCGCCATTTTCTCCAAACAATTTCTTCAACCTTTGATTTGCAATGAATCCTGGGATAGGGTAGGCCACGAAGGATATACATCCTTAAAATCTGGGGAAAATGAGGACGCACTTGTGGGCTGCATTTGGAGCCGCCTTGGAATTTGGACAGCCTA